CCGACAGTCATTTTGGTGTCACCCCCCTCTAAAAAGTCAGGCACTCGGTCATGGACCAAGAGCCCGACAGTGTCAGGAGAGAGGAGGGGACCCGACGGCATACCTTTTCCCACCAGGTTAACGTCCCCTCCTCTCTCTGCCGGCGTCCATCACTAAGATGGACGCAGGTAAGCATCATTCATATGGTTGCGCATGCACACTGACGTCATCGTGCATGTGCGAGGTGACGCCACGCGCACGTGCGATGACGACACGGCAGGGTGTCACCTGGTCTAGAGACCGGGTGACACCCGACCTCGGGACGCCCCTGGCTAGTAGTATGCAGTAGTGATATGGAGCTTCCTGTAAAAAAGACTGCTGCTCTTGTGCAGGGTGACTGGTCTTGTCTCCACCCCCTCCTGTAGTTTTCTACAGGTAGCTTGTAGTGGGTGGGGCCTGCTGGGCCCCTCCCACAGCTCTGCTCTCCGCACAGGCTATGAGCAGCCCAGTGACTATGTCACTGATATTAAAAGGTGTCTGAAGTTCAACTTTAAAGGAGACCTATGGGGTCAGTGTTTTTCCCCATAGTTCTCCTTAGAGTAATGGGAGGACACAAACTAGCGTCCTCCCGTCACCCTAAGCTCAGTATACCGCGAGCTACAGCTCTCTGTATACTGAGACGCCGCAGCCGGAGCGGATCCCGACGTAGATGACGGGATCCGCCCAGCTGCATGACAGCTGGCTCTGCCTATCTAGAGGCAGAGCCAGCTGTACCCGCCCCCTCCCCCGTCCGTTCCGCCAGTCAGCGCTGGCGGATCGGAGCAGGGAGGGGGGAATCCAGCCCTCCCCGTCACAGCAGAGAGCCGTGACAGGATCGAGAGGTGAGCGAACGCCGGTATGTGTTCGCTCACCTCCCGATCTACTGAGCCGACCTGTGACAGTGTCATTGTCACAGGTCGGCTAGAACTATGAGGTGAGTGAAAAACACTCACCTCATAGTTCTCCTTTAAGTTCAACTAACGTCTTAGTGTGTTTTCTTTTCAAGTGTGATGCAATACCGCAATATGGCCACTAGATGGCACTGAAGAGCATAGGGAAAAAGTGTTTATTTCCTATGCTCCTCAGCTCCATCTAGTGGCCATAAAGCGGTATTACATTACACCTGACCTGAAAAGGAACCATACAAAAAAACGTTCTTTTTTGCCTCTATTCATTACAGAATGAACCTTCGCAGAGATTATGGTCGCTAAATGGAGCTGAGGAGCATAGGAAAGAAGTATTCATTTCCTATGCTCCTCAGCTCCATCGAGTGGCCATGAAGTGGTAGGATACTTATTTCCTATGCTCATCAGCTCCATCTAGTGG